GGTGTTGAAGAATATTGAAAGTACTATGGACTGCCAAAAGAACCAATAGATCCGTTTTGGAAGAAGTGTAGCCAGAGTGCTCCTTGGAGGCCAGGATGGCCAGACTTAGTCTTTCGTACTAAGTCAGGAGGGACCAGTCGCTGGAGAAGGATATCATGTTTGGTAAGGTGGAGGGTCAGAGAAAAACAGGAAGACCCTCAACAAGATGTATTGGTCAAATGGCAGCATCGATGGACTCAAGCATGGCAACAATAGTGAGGTTGGCTCAGGATCGGGCAGTGTTTCATTTTGTTGTGCATAAGGTCACTATGAGTCGGTACTGACTTGATACCCAACAACTAAAGTGGTGTGAGAGAAAGATGAGGCTGTCTGCTCCCCATAAAGATTTACAGTCCTGGAAACCATAGATGGAGTCTCTTTGAGTTAGAATTGATTTAATGGCAGTGAGTTTGGGGTTTTTTTGTTGTTTTGAGTTGTGCAAATAATCCCAGAATGGTGTCGATGGTTAAAGTGCTCAATGTTAGTTAAGCATTTGTAAGCTCAAGCCCACCAACGAGGTGCCTCAGAAGGATGGCCTGGAAATCTTTCTTTCCCAAAACTTAGCCATTGAAAACCCTGTGGGGCACAGTTCTACTCTGATGCACACACTGGTCATCGTGAGTCAGAATCAACTTGACGATCGGTTTTTATCCAAACCCACTTCTGTCAAGTGGATTCCAACTCACAGCAATCCTGTAAGACAAAGTAGAACCGCCTCTGAGACTTTCTGAGACTGTAAATTTTTACAGGAGCAGACAGCCTCCTCTTTCTCCTGTGAAGTAGCTGGTGTGTTTGAACTGCAGACCTTGTGGTCAGTAGGCCAAGGCCTAACCCACTGTGCCATCAGGGGCCCATGACTGTTTTTTGTTCTTGCTAAGTGCCATCAAGTCACTTCTGATTCATAGCAACCCTTTATAGCAGGGGTGGGAGCCTTTTCTCTGCCAAAATTTATGACATCATTTGTGGGTCATACGAAAGTATCAGCTCAAAAATAAACCTGCTGTATTTGATCAAACATTTAATGAACTCACCCTGAATGTGAGGACTCTTGGTATGGCACTATAGGATCAGCTCTGGACTATGAACCCCAAGGTCAGCAGTTGAAATCCACCAGCTGCTCCTTGGAAACCTTATACAGGGTCGCTATGGGTCGAAATCGACTCGACGGCACTTAACCATCATAACAGTGTGATGGCTGGAAGTATTTCCCTAGGCGGCGCCAGACCAAATGATTTCATGGGCCTTATACAGCCCGTGGGCCAGATGTTCTCTGCCCCTGTTGTTTAGGCGTTTAGAGTGGCTGGCTGATGGGTTTGAACCATTGACTAGTGCTTTTATCCTACAGCGCCATACCATGACTCTGACTGGTTGTGAATTTGGGTATTTCGTTGTGCTTTGGTTGAGTACCTTTTCATGTTTTATTTTATAATGTACTATAAAGTGGAGTCCTGGTATGGCACTTCAAGGTTGGCAGTTCAGATTCTCCAGCTGCTCCTCAGAAACCCTACCCAGGGTCCGTATGAGTCGGAACCGACTTGAAGGCATCCACACGTATAGGCGTTAGGATTTAAACCATGTCTTTCAGGGACAGGAGTCAGTCCATCACACGGTTCCATCAGCAGTCAGGTGATGGAGTTGAGGAAAGTTGGCAGAGTAACTGAGCCCTGGGGATAACAGATCTGCAGTAAGACTCATGCTTCCTGAGGAACTGCCCAAATGCTAAAGAAACCCTCACTTGAGGTGATTTGCTGTTCATCTGCTGGCTGGTGATTTTCTCTCAGCAGTTCCCCGGAACCTCGGCTTGGTTTCTGAGGTTTACAGACATCATCCCAAAGATTGTAACATTGTTGTGAGCCCCTCCTGCTATATGTAGACAAAGCATCCTGGGGTTCTCTCACGAGTCTTGGTTCTGTGTCTTGAAATAGCAGATGGCAGTCTCCACCTCCTGTCCTCACAGAGCACAACCCTTAGTCACGACTAACCTGCCTGCTGGCCAGAGCAGGCCTCCAGTGTGTGTAGTTCCTTGTGCAGGCCTGAAAATAGATGTGTGTAGTGAACACTGGGCTGTTAATCTCGGGAGAAAGATGAGGCTGTCTGCACCTATAAGGATTTATAGTCTCAGAAACCCCATATGAGTCCACTCAATGGCAGCGGGTTTATGGTTGTCCCAGGATGGCAGTGTGACTAGGTGGGATTGGGCTTCCAAAGAGGAGGGCACCTTGTTTCTCTTTAAAGAGAAATCACCAAAAACCTTTTAAGGTAGAAAATGTTATATATCACTTTTGTTTTGATAAACACAAGGTCGGTGGTTCAAACCCACCAGCTGGTCCTTGGAAACCCTATCCAGGGTCGCTGTAAGTTGGAACCGACTTTTCACCGTACTTGCTTTTCACAAAAGCAGGGCCTCTGTCATTGTCATGGCTCCCCCCAACATCTTGCTTAAACAAGTCCTTCCTCTACCTTCTGACCTCCAGAGCCTGTGACAGGCAGGGACAGGTTAGAGGCCTTATAACTTTCCTTATAACTTTCCTATGGCGTATTTTAAAAATAGCTTTAGCTGCAGAAACAGTTGGGTATCAGTCAAGAGGTGGGTGTGTGTTTGGTTCTTAGGGAATCGAAGGCTGATTTTCTCCCCAGTCTGTCAGAGCTGGCTCACGTGGGTGAATGTGAGTGGAGTGGGGTTCCCAGGTCTAACACTCAGCATCAGCTCTGCAATGGAACCTTGCACCCTGGGGTGTTGTTGTGGGCGGGTAGCTGCGCTCCTGGCCAGAAACAACAGTCCTGGGATAGTACTTCCCAGGGTTTATGCTGCAGCAGAAGCATTTGTGAGCATCAAGAGGCCAGGGGAGACTGGAGGCTGGTCTGCTCTCCGAGGGGGCTGAAGATAGAGCTGGCTCCCTTCATGAGCTTGAGCCAGAGTGCTTATGTCTTCTTCTAAATAGGAGTAAACAGATCAGGCAGCTGGAAGGAGTTCACCAAAGACCTCAGGTTTGGGCTGTGGTAGCCAGTTGCAGCAAGCTAAGAAGATAAGCGGGTATCTCCTTCCTCTCTACCACCCACTTTCCCAGGGAGCAGGCACCCCCTCTGCATGTAAAATCCTGCCTTGCCTTGGGCTGTTGCATCCCCACTATCCTGGTTACTTTGGCTCCAGCAAACCTAACCAGCATTTGAGCTTATGGGGTCCCAGCCAGCCTGGGTCCCCAGCAAAGACAGACTGCAGACGGCTGCTCGGTGCCTTCAGTGCACACCGAACTGTGGGGTGATGAGAAATGTTCCCACTTCCATGTGTTCCCCAGAGGTAGTCTGCCCAAGGTCTTGGTTGCACTAAGCTCATCTTCTCTCCTGGGGGCATTCCTTATGAGCATGGCCCTGCAGCCGTGGTTGGTTTTGTGCCAGAGTTTGAGACACCTTCAGCAGGAAATTTTCTAGGAGTCTGCAGATAAAATAAATCCTGCAAAGAGTCTAAGGAGTCATGGTGGCGCAGTGGTTAAGAGCTTGGCTGGTAACCAGTAAGGTGAGCGTTGGGAACCCACCAGCTGCTCTGTGGGAGAAAGGTGGGGTCGTTTGCTTCTGTAAAGACATACAGCCTTGGAAACCCAACTCTTGTCATATAGAGTCTTTATGACTCAGAATTATCTCAACAGCTACACATTAGGGGAGAATTCAATTATGATTAAGTACATTCAGTGGATATTAGATTTTTAATGACTACATCTGTAATAAGGGTCGGAGGCAGGGCACAAATTATATACAACAGGACTTCCAACAGTTCGTGGAAATATTCCATTATCTTTTAAGTCCATTTTTCCATGAACTATTTAAAATTCCCTCATACATGATGATCACTATGTTAGAAAAAAGGGAAAAAAGATGTGAAGGAAACACACCAAAATATTACATTCATTATATTGAAGGAATGTAATCTTTTCTGTGTTTCCTTATTTTCTACATTGAGCATGTATTAACCTTTATGATGGGAAACAATGTTAAAAAATAAATTCTTGATTCTAGAAAAAAATGAGGGAAAAGAAGGCAGAGAAATTCTTGAAATTGCTTATGGGGAAGATCACCAAGTACAAACCAGATGCGAAAGTCGCTGTTGACACACTGACGAGGAAGTGCTTACCTACGGTTTCCTCACTCTTCTTACTCATTGTTGGGCTCAGCACAGAGTTACTGAACTTGATCTAGAAGCTTGTATAGCTTGTCTGTCAGTTTGTCTTGCTGTAGTGGCTTGCGTGTTGCTGTGATCCCGGAAGCTCTGACACCAGTATTTAAAATACCAGTAGAACCACCAATGGTGGACAGGTTTTAGTGTCTTCCAGACTAATACGGACTAGGAAAAAGGAGAGGCAGACCACTTCTGAATGGTTAGCCATTGAAAACCTTATGAATAATGGCAGCAGAACATTGTCAGACACAGTGCCAGAAGATAGTGCCTTCAGGTTGGAAGGCACTCAAAATACGACAGGGAAAGAGCTGCCTCCTCAAAATAGAGTTTACTTCATATGCTGACACGAATGAAGTAAAGCTTTCATGATTTTCATTTACTGATAGGGCACAACTCATAATGAGGAGAAACAGCAGTAAATATCTGTTCATAAATGGAACAGAGAATCTATGAAGTATGAATCTAGGAAAATGAGAAGTAAAAAATGAAATGGAAACATAAAAATCTATTTCCTAGGCATTAGTGAGCTGACATGGACTAGTATTGGTCATTTCGAATCAGATAAACATATGGTTTACTATGCTGGGAATGCCACATTGAAAAGGAATGGCATCACATTGTCAAAAGGAATATTTCAAGATCAATCTTGAAGTACAATGCTGTGATAATATCCATACTCCTATAAGGAAGAGCTATTCTGGTGTGATGCTGTAGGGATAGGGCAAGACCAGTGACTTCTTCATTGCAAAAAACCTTTTTTCAGTAGTGATTATACACATGGGCCACACCAGATGGAATACACAGGAATCAAATTGAGTAAGTCTGTGGGAAGAGATGATGGAGAAGCTCCATATTATCAGCCAAATTAAGACCAGTGGCAGACTGGAACAGACCATCAGTTACTCATGTTCAAGTTCAGGCTGAAACTGAAGAAAATTAAAACAAGTCCACAGGAGCCAAAAAATGGCCTTTTAGATCCCACCTGAATTTACAGGAGCAGAAAGCCTCATTTTTCTCCCATGGAACTGCTGGTAGTTTCGAACTGCTGACCATAAGGTTTGCAGCCTGGCTTGTAACCACTACGCTACCAGAGCTCCTTAGTCATTATGATAGAAGGGGATAATGAATAGTTTTAAATCAGTGAAGGTGTGTGTCAGGGTTGTACCCTTTCACAGTTATTCAGTCTGTAGTCTGAGCACATAATCCGAGAAACTGGATTATACGATTGGAGGAAGACTCGTTAACCATCTGTGATATGCAGATGACACAACCTTCCTTGCTGGAAGTAAAGAAGACTTGTAGTACTGATGAAGATCAAAGAGTACACCCTTCAGTGTGGATTTTACCTCAGTATAAAGAAAACAAAGATCTCACAACTGGACCGATAAATATTGTGATAAATGGAGAAAAGATAGAAGTTGTCCAAGACTTCGTTTGGATCCACAATCAACTCTCATGGAAGTAGCATTTCTTAATCAAATGATGTACTGCGTTAGGCAAATATGCTGCAAAAGACTTTTTTCATCTTTCAAAAGCAAAGATGTCAGTTTGAGGACTAAGGTGTACCTGACCCAAGCCATGGTATTTTGTTTATCACTGCCTTTGTATGTCAAAGTTGGACAATAAGATCATAAAAAAACAATGCATTTGGATTGAGGTGTTAGCAAAGAATATTGAAAATGCTGTGGACTGCCAGAAGAACAAATAAATCTGTGTTGGAAGTAGTAAAGGCAGATGCACCTTAGAAATGAGGAGGACAAGACTTCGCCTCCCATTCTTTGGATATGCTGCTGAAGGGCATTGTTTTGTAAAATGGTCAGTGAAACAGAGGAAGACCCTAACAAGCTGGATTGACCTGGTGGCGGCAGCAGTGGCTCAAACTTAACTGTGAGGCTGGTCCATGACCAGGCAGTGTTTCATTCTGTTGTGAATAGGGTCGGTGCCTGACAACAGTAACATTGCTTTAAAAGCAGGCATTTCTTTCCCAGGAGCCAGGCCGGGTGTCGGTGGTCAGAGAGGTACACTGTTGGAGCTCACAGAAGATCTAACCCACAGGACATGTGGACACACTCACTGAGCATGTTCTAAGAAGCTGAGCTGCATGCAGAAATGGTGCCTGGCACACGCCTCACAGCCATGACACAGTTGTGGTTTGTGTTTACTTGGATGGGAAGAAAGTAACGTTGAGTCTTGCTGAGTTTCTGAGTTCCTTCCTTTCACTTGCTTTGCTGTGCTTTCTAATTACTGGAAAGCGTTTGTCCAGGAGGCCTCTGCAGGAAGTGCAGTGTCAAGTGAGGACTGCAAGCCGAGGAGGAGGAGCTGGCAATAGAAGTCTCACAGGGACCTCACCCCCACCCCCTCCATTCCAGCTCACACCAGAACCACCATTGTTCAGTGCCATCGAGTTGGCTCTGATTCATAGCAACTGTTACAGGGTTTCTGAGGAGCAGCTGGGGGGTTTGAACTGCCGACTTTGTGTTTCAAAGTCCAGAGCTGATTCTACAGTGCTACGCCAGGAGTCCCAGAACAACCACAGCAGTGAGGAAAACTACCACCTTAGTAAATGCCCTTCTTGTTTGTTTTCCCAGTTTGATCAGTGTGGGTATTTGTTATTGTTGAAGTAGAAAAATACACACATTAACAGCTAATTACCCGATTCATGTCCAGTTCTACCTGTAGGGGGTGAACATGGTAGGCCGAGGGTCCTGTGGAATAAACATGTTATTTTCGATTTTGCATCTACTTTACAGGGCCATCTCCCTGTCCACCTGAAATCATGTCTCCCAGCAGGCTTAGATTTCTGGACTAAGTGCAGCCGTCCCCTCCTGCAGCCTGGGTGACCCCAAAATGCCACGTTGATTAATTAGCTCAGTGGACATGAGACAGGTCCTGGGCCTCTGGCACGTGTCCGCAGGAGCCCTGGGAGTGACCATAGTCTCCATGTCAGCCGCAGCCTCGCCTTTATGGAGGTCACCATTGCGTAGGCATGGCGGGTGCCACTGCAGCAGTCCAGCGGCCAGAGGAGACTTGGGGTTTGCTTGCCTACCATCCAGCGACTTCATTCCCGGACCTCTATTGGGGTGCTCCAGCCAGATGGGCCACTGCCTTTTCCCCGCAGGCCCCGCCCCCATAGCTGGGCACTAACTGAACCTGCTTCTTCCCACCTGGCGTCTCCATCACAGCATTAGGAAGGGTGTTGGCAGATGAGCTAACCAGTGGCTTCCCTTGTCCTCTCCCGTCCTCTGGCCTGCAGGTGTTTGAGGAACTGTGGACAGGAAAAGGGAAGACTGCGGCACACATCGTCTCCGAGAAGCAGCTGGGACTGATGCAGGACCAAGAGGCGCTGGAGCAGTTCTGCCAGGCTGTGATGGAGCAACATCCTCAAGTGGTGACTATCGGCTGGGAGTGGGAAGGGTCCCCCTCTTACCAGTAGAGGGCCAGGGCCAGGCCTGCTGCAGGGCCCACATCTGGCCAGCCCAGAGCCCCAGTGTTGTCAGTCCCTAGTGATTTGTGTCAGCTTTTAAGTTATGGTCAGAAGAGATGGAATTACGTAAATACAGAAAAAAAATGCACCTTCTTTTCCTATGAGGAAATCCTACCCTGGAGTCCCATCTGCATGGAGCTCCCTGGCCAGTGGTGCTTCCTAGGACAGATCTCGCATTATAACCCAGCGGACATGGCAGCAGGAGAGGGAAGAGGCAGGGAAGAAAGGAATGTTATTTGTAGATTATGGACCAGCAGCATAGCTAAGAACCAAGGCATGGTGTGTCTGAGCAGAGCACAAAGTAGAAAAGTTAAAATGATGCACAGTCCTCCCGTCTTAAGTCCAATCATGTTGTCTGGAGGGATTTTTCAGTAGGGAAAAAAAAATGCGAGCATCTCTCTCAGAATAATACCCACCCAGCCAGCTATCAGTTTGCCGAGAACACTTACCATTTCGGTAAAGAGCTCTAGATAAGGAAAATGAGCTTGCACGGGGACCTAGCAGTGTCTGTTTCTTCTGCAGCACCCCAGTGCAGATACGGACACACCTAACTGGATAGAGGCGCGCTGAGCTGGAGCTCTGGGCGGGCAGGCCCTCGAGGTCTTCTCTGCTTATGTGATAGGAATTCAGTGCCTCCCGACTATTGCTCTGGGAGAATTTCCACCTTCTCAATTTGTTTTCTCCTGAGCAGATCTTCTTGGCAGGGGGTGGGGAAGAAAGCATGGTCAGCCTGAAATTGGAGCTGCATCTTCACTCTGCTCAGACTTGATCATTCCTCTCTAAGAAGCGACCTGTGTCACTGTGGTGCCTGGGAGGGGAGTGTCCTGGTTCTTGCATGTCAGTGTTGTTCTCTAGCTGTAGATAGTCCAACTTGTCAGACACGAGCACACGCCTTGCGTTCCCACTAATCACGAGGCAGAGCAGCACACACCCCTCATGGCAGGAGGCTGGCAGCCTCAGATGCCAGCCTGCCTCTCTTTTTCTCACCTTACATCCAGAACTGAAGGGAAAATGAAACGGAATTTAATTGTTAAGAAACTCAACTTTTACTTTAGGAGTCTTAGGTATGAATCTGCTTAGTGTTTCCTCTGACACAGTTTCCATCTTTGCAGGTAACGGATGTGAAGAACGGAAACCTCAGAGCTGTAAACAAACTGATTGGGCTGGTCCGAAAAGCCACTCTGAGCCGAGCCGACCCAACGGCGATCAGGAAAATCCTGGAGAAACAGCTGTCACTCTGAGCGGCTCTGGGCGTGTTTGCCGAGAGAGAGAGGCTGGTGCAGCGTGACTGTGACACCAGAGGTCCACTTGCTCTCTACCTACCTGCTGGTCTCAGCCCCGGGCAGGACCCGCACGTTCTGGACTCTCAGGGTCTGTGCATGGGGACACTGCCTCCATAGGAGACAAGCTGTTGGCTATAGTGACATAAAGATACTCTACTGAGAGCTGTAATGGAAGCTGAGAGAGAGCCAAGTGCAGTGTTTGGCAACTCTAACGAACTAAAACACGCCGTTTCAAACACTGCTAACATTCTTCAGAAAACTTTTCATTCAGCAATTCATACAACAAAGCTTTGGGGGTATTTGTTAGGTACTGCAGTTGGCAATGATTCAGACATGGTAATCTGGATTTAGTTATCTTTAAACCTGAAAACATGCAAATGAAGATTTTAAAAAAATACACAATAAAATAAATTGGCACAGAATCAACACTATTTTGTTTAGGGAGAGTGAGGCCGAAAGATGGAACCAAAGGAATTACTAGTAAATCACAGAACTAATAATGAGTAAAAGGGATGTAGCACATTCATCTCCCCAGGGCACCCAGAAGGCACAGGCCCGAGAATAAATGATATATTTCTTGGGTAAAAAAGACATAGGTTGTTTTGAAAGAAATTTAATGAATAAAATATATACTGAAATATCACATAAAAAATTAACTTACACTTCAAAGATAGTGCAGTTGACAATTTAGCCCACCCACCCTATCCTCGGGCCAAACTAGATAAAAAGGAAACCTGTAACATCAAACTAATTTGTTTAGGAGAATATGATTCTAAATCACTGGATCAAACCCTCGACCTCTGCCCAGGCCCGCGGCGGTGCAGTGAACAGGATGGCGGTCAGGCGGGTGGCCTGCACATCCTGTTGGCACGGCAGTAATACTATTTTCTCTCTATTGCACGTGGCACCCCTTCATCCATGGTGCCTCCATTGCCTCTGACTCATAGCTCTGACTTCAAAGACCAGTTTAGCACGTGCCACCTAAACGGTGACTCCAGCAAGAGGACCTGTCTCCCAAGGCCCAGATTCTGATCCCTGAGCTCTCCCACCCAACCAGGGAGAACAGTGATGCATCTCTGTCTTGGACACTTCTCTGCCAGCCGCTAGAGAACTCCCGGTCCTCAATCCCAGTGTCTCAATTAGTGGGTCCTGGTTACACACAATCGCTCAGAGCTGCCCTGAGTGGAGAAAAGTATCCCTCTGATCCCACCATAAAAGTGAGAGGGAAAGGAAATTGGTAGTTTACTTTTCAGACAATCATGAGGATGTGACCTTTAAAAACTAGTTTTAATTAATGACTTAGAAATGTGAGAGAATCCGTCCCATCACCCAGGAAGCCGAGTAGCCCGCCATCTGCTGCAATACTGAGAGCTGCTGGGCCTGAAAGCAACAGGTACTCTCATCTTCCATGAAACCTCTAGGTGGGAGAAGTAGAGTGGTGTCTCTCACCTTCCTCCAGAGGTCTCTGAATTGCCACCGGCAGAGAAGGTCTGAGATTGAAATCTGGTGGAACCTTCACTTTGTAAGAAATAGCAAGGTTTCATGTTTTTGTTTTCTTTTAAAATATATATATATATATATTACACACACATACATACATATATAATGCTATTTCCACCAACTCTTCTGGCTCCTTGACTGCTCAAGCCTTATAGACAGCCAGTCTTTTCGAACCATTTTCAGTCAAGTGCTCACTAAAACTGGGGGTTGGGGGGCGGGTGGGGAGCTAGATAAAAGACAGCAAAACAATTACATCAGGTGTAAACTATATTATGGACTGATAATTACCCAAGAAAAATGCCATTGTTGAAACAGTTGATCCTGTAAGACACTAATTCTTGTCCAGCTCTGACAATTGTCTTTTGCCTTGAATCTTGAATGCCAAGTTCTAAAATCTTGAAAGGCAGACTTTGCTATGCTGATAGACCTGCTTGCTATTTGGGAGGTGGAAGGAGAGGAAGCACAGCTCCACTATCTTCTGTGAAGCCTGACCAGATTTTCAAAAGATAGTTTTACAGAACTCCCTCGGAAATCACAAGCATGGCTCTGCTGCTAAATGGACCTCGGTGAAATACAATTTTAAATCCACTCTTGCATGAGTGAGAATTTAGTCTGGTTCTGTGTTTGCTATTCAGGGGAAATTTCATTAAAATATGAGTGTCATCAGGAAAGCCATGACCTGTGTCATTGGAACCCACACACCTGTAGGCTAGACTTTCACTAGGGAGGGAATGTGCCAGGCGACTGTCTCTCGACCCCCAGCTCCCAGCTTGTTTACACCAGCCCCAGCTAGTCAAACTCAAGGCTTGTGCTCTGGAGTCTGGCAAGCAGGTATGTCCTGGGGAGGGAGGCAGGGTGTTGCCAGGCATGAAGGAATTCTCAGCAAATACTGGTTTAATATGATTGGTTTAATAATGAACCAAATCCATAAAATGACCTTAATGGAGAGCCTCTGCATGCCCACCCCCACCCCACCCCCTTTTTTGTGTGAGATGCTGGTGCTGCCCACTACCGGGCTTTTGAATTCTGGGTTGTTTGGATCTAGGAAGGCATTGTTTGCATCTGTCCAGGCACCTCCATCAAAGTGAGCTTCTGTTCTTATCTTTCAAGGTGTCAGGTGGCCCTGGAAAAGGAACTTACTCCACTTTTACACCAAAGAAAGAATGTGTAAGCTGAGGCCTCCAGTGCCACCACCTTTTATTTGGGGGGGGGCAGGGGTGGGAGTAGAGGAGTGAGTGTTTATTGAAACTCTGGAAGGAGGATAAGAAATTTTTCAAAGCAGGCCTCCCTCGACTTTGAGTTGGTTAACTCAGCATACAGTTTATGGCTATGACACACAATTTGTAGTTTTTTTCATTTCTATTGAGTTTAGCTTCCATATTTCCAAGATTCTACATAGCAGTTATATTTTATAAAAAACAAAACAAACACCACAAAGCCATCCTTATATGAAAGGCCACGTTATTTACCACTTAGCAAAAAGCAATGCTTCTTCAGCACGTTTGAGATCAATGCATCATGCAGTGCTGTGAACACTAGACGGTGAGATGGAAAGCACATGATTAAAACCCTCTCTACTACTTCCCTTGCTTGACACCTTAGCAAAAAACAAAACAAAACAAAAAACACCTAATGTAAGATGATCATCACTGAATTCCCTCCTTTAACTTATCTACAGACAAAAGGGGAGGGGGGCTTATACAGACTTGTACCGATAGAAAGTCAGCTGACAAACAGAGCATCACACACGTCTACAGCCTCAGCTTCACAAATGAATAATCTGTCCTCAGAGTCCCCGTCACCCTGCCAGCTTCTGGAATGATGCACTACATCTCAACCCTCCAAAAGAGACTGATACCCGTGCTGGTCGTACCGACTGGTAAGTCTTGTTACTCGTCACGGTGGCAGTGAGTTAGGTCTACTTACATTGTGTTCAACCTGGACAAAATTCACTGGCTGAAGGGACAAGAAGCCCGAACCAAAACCAGTAACAATTTTAAGATTCTGAGTGCAAAGGGCCAAAAACTGAAGAGTTGCCTCCCCATCCTGGGCCTTCTTCCCCCACCCACAGAACCTTGCTGGAAATCTCTCGTTAAAGCCCTGTTGGTTCAGTTAATGAGCTGCCAGAATAATCTGTCCTCCAAAACGTAATGGCCTAATAAATGCCTGAATACCGAGAATTTACTGAGGCAAAATTATCCCGAAAACAATTCCAAGTCTTCTGAGAGCTCTTTCTAAAGCATTACGTTTATGATGGCCATTCAAAAAAGGGGGTCGACTCCACTGTCTTTTTAAAATGTTACCTCAAGGATGCGATTTAAGGGTGACATAAAACGAGTCTGACAGTGTTCTGTCTGCAGCTGCTATCTGATGGAGAATTAGTGTTGTGTGATTTACAGACCGATGGCTGCTGGCACGAGAAGGGGGTCAGGGGATATCCTCTTAATGACCTAGTGCTGCTGTGGCCTCGGAGGCAAGAGGGCGGCTGTTCCCAGGAATCATGAATACTGCAGAGCTGGCTGAGGTTCACAGCGAACCGCCACATCACAGTGACTTGGGCCAGTGACTTGAAGTAGCCTGTATGGTAACTGCTGTCCTGCAATAAAATGTTTCATAAAAATGGCAAGCGTTGACAGCCATTTCCATAAATACAGGGCTGGTAATTAGTGATGAAAGTGAATGGCCCTTATATGAGAACTGGAACATATGCTGTGGTACCAACAGCTGCAGCCATGTGACATCCCGACATCCCAACAACTACAGCAGTGACATATCCCATCCCCGCTGGGGCAGGCCTTCCCTAAAGGGAACAACCTAGTCATGATTCCAGAGTCAGAACGGGTATTACACATGCCTCTAATGCAATCAGCATTAGAGGGCATTTTCCTAAGCACACCCTTGATTTTCCTAAGCCCCATGATTTTTTAATGCATTAAAAACCAGTATTACATGGGACCTACAGAAGCACGGCCTGCTAAGACAAGGGTACTTTTAAGAGCTCTCTCGTAAGTGAACTTCACACATCCTTCCTAAGCAACCCAGACACCACCTCCAAGCCAGCATGTCACAGCATTTTCCACAATAGTGCTTACTAAAACGAGGCCACTTCACCATTTCTCTGAACACAGGGAAAAGAAGTATCAAATGACATGGAAAACCACATCTCCAATTAGTTACTGCAGCATCCCCGTTTCATGGTGGGGAGACTAGTTTACTTCAATGAGATTGTATTTTAGGTCAAACCTAACCTGAAAGTTCTTTGTTTTAATAACAGCCATTTCCAAAATGCTGTTTCTAAAGTCCCAGTGCTCTCCACTACCCTGAGCCATAAAATCCCCTCAGCCGACAACTCTTAAGTCCCACCCTGAGTGATGAGTCAGGCAGCCCCGGCCCATCAGGCTGGTCACAGTCATGCCAACCTCAGGGGCTGTGTCCACTGTCCAGCTCTTCTTCCCTATGTCCTTTCAACAAGTAGTCCAGTAACTGGGGTGGGAGCTTGTCACATGGGAAAATGTCCACACTCTAGGACCACATTTTAAAACAAGCCAAAGATCTTTAAAAAAAAACAAACAAACTTTCCCCCAAAACTCATTATAAAAAAGTTATCTCTTAAGGGCCTTTCCTATGTAGTTTAGAGCTAGAATATTCTACTTCCTTACCACATTTTTCTTCCTGTCAAGAAATTCCCATCATCACCATACCTGCTTAAACCAACATCTTTCTGTTGTTCTCCCTTAGGCCTATGCACACTATTTCCTGAACCAGCCTTAACCTAAACCAGTCAGCTATTCCACTCAAACATTTGGGTCCTCCAGTTCTCTTTATTGCCAGGTCCGCTTTCTGACTTTTTTTTTTTTTTAAAACAAAACCCTGGACACAGCATTTGAGAGGAGAGCTGCAATAGGTTTAGAAACATGAGCCAGTTCCTAATTCTAAACAGGAAGGTAGGGCGAGTTGTCAATGTGAATTTGCTACCAATACTACCTACCACCCACCACCATAAGAAGAAGTTAAATCTTCTGCGTCCCACCCCAGACACATCTCTGGTCTCTTTTGAAGTCAGTCCACTCACTTCAACACCTACTAAAAAAACAAACAAGAGGCACAAAATCCATCTCTCTCTCAAAGGACACCGTCCCCAAAAGGGACCCAGGATGTTCTGTATCAAAGCAACATGGGTATAAGAATCATCATCTCCATCAGCACCAAGACAGTGGGTGAAAAACACCTGTAGAATAGTTTTCAGGTGCGAGTTTAGCATTTTATGTACCTGGTAAGTCCAAACAGGAACATTTGTACAAAACAAAGTGAGAGGGTAATACATTAGACGTTCAATTTCATCCTCACCAATTCCTCCCTAAGTACCTTAAACTACCTTCGTTTCTAATGGAGAATTGTGGGTTGCGCAAAATACAACTAGGCACTGGGAGACTGAGAGTCTGATGGGCCTCAGACATTTTGGCTGCTGCACCATGGCTGGGCAAACCATTTTTTCAAGACAAATTTCAAGTCAGAAATGTGCAATGAATTGGTATCTTTGGTTTCTTGCCAGGACTCCGAAACACAGCAAGGCTGGCTCCTAAGAGCTCACTCAGCCCAAACACCTGGTGTCTTTTTTATTTTCTCCCTCAATATACAATGGCCTCGAAATCCCTGAAACACAAAAGGGATGTTAATTTTCTCTTGGGGCTCCAAATAAGAGCAAACCAGTGATCCCTAGACACACAGCCCTTCCAGCCTGTGACCTCCCTGGGGCTCAGCAGTGATGCCCATAGAGCAGCATGGGGAGTTTCCAGTTCCCACCCTGATCAGGGAGGCTTAGTGCAGCTCCTTGCTTCTCACCTGCAAAATGACCCCAAACAGAGGAGGGTGGAATTTCATATCCATAAGCTTCTGTTGCACATGATCTCCTTTCTAGCTGGAAGTTATTTCTGTGTTTTTCGCCCCCGTAGTGGTGGTGTAAGGAGAGAGTGGTCCTGAGTGTAATTAGGTCCTTGAAGCAAACCGAGAAGCCTCAGAGATGCACTAATACATCACGTCAGGGCCTTCTAATGAACCCCATTACTCAAAAGGCGGACTTGCCATGTGGTGTGGTGGGGGTCACCAGTAAGCACTTGACTTTGCAAAGCATCCTGCTTGTGACCAGACAAGCCTGGGCGGGGCAGTACCTGCTTCCCTACAAAATACAACATGTTAGCAAAAGCACACAGCATTACCAGTCTTTTTCACAGGGCACAGTAAGTTTTCTTTTATCCTTTCCCGCCATGCCAAAGAAACTGCCACAAACGAGCTTCACAAGTCAATCTGTTTGTTCCAGGAAACACTTGTAACTATGGCTGTCTCCTTACATAAGAAGACAACATCCACCGTGCTGTCTTCCTCTGATCAAATGTTTAAAAACCAAAGTAACGGACTGCACAGGGACACTTGACTTCGTACAGATCTTACTACAAAATAAGGCTATCTTCAGTGTTTAGGGAGTGATTGATCTATTGATTAAAGACGGCTGGCGTGCAAAAAGAAAACTTCCCTGTATTCCAAATTATCCAAAATGACACCTGATTTCCCCGGGCAGCTAGTGGATACCAGTGGATTTGCTGGCACCACACGGCAACATGTACTGGACACAATATGAGTCCTAGAAGGAAAACTCTGAGGGACACGGGATGTGTGCTTGTGTGCTGGAGGTGAGAGGGGCAGGGCAACCCACCTTTCGTCTTCCCTTCATGAACCAGAAGCAACAGGAGCAGATGCACGAGCTGCAGATGTGCATTTTTCACATGCTGCTGAAGAGCCAGGCTTGGACACAGGGTACTTCAAGAAACCACCCAACCTGATATTCCCTCAGTACCGTCTGAGCCGAAAGATGAGTGATTGATAGGGACGGGGGAAGAACCACCACAAACTGTAGGGGGGGAAGAAAGCCTGCCCAGAGTGCAATTGGCTTATAAGCTCTACATTCTATGTATCAGAAGGTGGAAAGACCTGGCTAGACAGAGAGGAAGGAGATAGGAAAACATTTTCTCCCCCAAATCAAGTATTGTCAGGAAATATCAAAGTAGAAATTTTTTGTAAGCAGCTTTGCATTTAACATTCAGTGGAAACACTAAAACCATATAAAACAAGAACTTCTACTTAAAAACAGAAAGGAAAGCTAACAGCAGGAGTCCTCGCAGTCTCCCAGGATCTTGTAGCACAGGATGGAGTGTTCCTGGGCCAGGGCAGCCAGCTCCTTCAGAAACTCTGGGAAGAGGGCGGCGGCCAGCATGGTGTTCCTCACCGGCAGGGGCAGGTTTGGAAGTGCCCCACACACCTTGGCTCTGTTGGCCAGGAAAGGCTGAAGCACTCTTGGAGGTCCGTCCAAAATGTTCATGCCAGTTCCTGTCCAGGATGCGTCCTGACTGGGATCTGAAACCAGAACCCAGGACTGTCACTGTAGCCCTCCATAGCCCTTTACTCCCTTCCATGCTCTTGAATGAAAAGTAGGAGCAGGGATCCCCAGTCATGGGTTCATTTCCTATAATGACTCAGGTCTGAAGACACAGCCTTTGATCAGACACTTTGTTCCATGCATGTGCCCCAGGAGAAAACCTCCAACACTGGGTCCATCACATGAGGGTTTCAGCCAAACCCTGTATAAGGAACTTCCTGAAGAACCCACAGCAACCATGTAGATTTATCAAAAACCTTCCATGCCCAGATGTGGGGAGGGGCTTTAACGTCTTTAAATGAAAACGACATTGCCTGCATCCGCTAAGAGCAGTCAAAGCTCACCAGGAAGGGAATCTAGGGCTATCCAATGGCTCTACAGCTCCGTAACCTCCCTGTGTTGGGTGACCGCGCTACTTTTACAGAGTAAAGCCATCACATGGCATAGCTACAGGGGGAGGCTAGCTAGGAGGTACCTCCAGCTCTCTGCAGCTCATGTTCTGGCCCCTGGGGCTTCCTGGTGACCCCTACCCCTCTCTCTGCTTTTATGGAGAAAGTGGAGGAAGTCTTTAAAAAATTTTTTTTAATGTTTGCCCTGAAGTCTTTGAATGTTGGAAATAATGAATAGGCACTTGGATGCTGGTAGGCTCAGGCTGAGAATTCCCCACAACCACTGGGCTCTAATGACAGCAGACAGCATGGATGCCTACACTTATGGCTGATTCCAGTGATTTCTATCTCAGTTTAAATAGCCTAGGTTTGAAATGATATGTGACACTGCAGGATAAGCAATGGACTGCTAACCACAAGGTTGGCAGTTCAAACCCACCACCACTCCTTCGAAACCTACAGGTCTGCTATGAGTTGGGAGCGACTTGACGGCACTTAACAACAACAAAATGATATAAGCCCAACCTTAGCATAATTCAAATAATTTGCATTTTCATATCAAATCAGTTACACTAATGAAAATGGTTCTACTTCTCTCTAATTCTTGAACACTTCTAACCTTCATATATCTGTAGGAATAATTCATACCTTCTTCTGTCCCCCATCCAAACAGTCTCATGAAACCAAACAAAACCCACTGCCTTCCAGGCGATTCTGACTTACAATGACCCTTTAAAACAGAGTAGGGTTTCTAAGGAGGAGTCCTGGTGTGGCGCTGTGAGTTAATGTGCTGAACTGCAAAGTCAGTTTAAAACACAAGGTCGGCCGTTCAAGCTCACCAGCCACTCCTTGGAAGCCCTATGCAGGGTCGCTATGGGTGTGAACCAACATGATAGCACTTAACAACAATCTTCACTAAAAGGAACATGCTGACTGTACGGATTTGTTCATTCTTCTGAAAGCCTATGTATACTCAATATTCTTTACCAGCACCATACTTTAAAGGCATCAATCCTGCTCCAGTCTTTCTTATGAATTCTCCAACTTCCACATGCATATAAAGCAACTGACTGAAAATACCAAGGCTTGAGTCAGGCACACTGTGGTCCTCAAAGTGTCATCTTTGCTCTTTCAGTGTTTTAAAATGGTCTTTCATAGATTTACCGAACACAATATACTTCATTTGATTACATCACTGCTGCTTCCAAGGGCGCTGATTGTGATCCAAATAGAATTAAATCCTTGACAACATCAAGCTTTTCTCTTTATCATGATGTTGCTTATGATCTTCTTTACATTGAGGTGCAATGCATACTGAAGGTTGTCGTCTTTGATCTTCAACAGCAAATGCTTCCAGTCCCCTTTCACTTTTTGCAAACAAGGTTGTGTCTTCTGCATATCGCAGGTTGTTAAGGACCTTCCTCCAAGCTTAAGGACCGTCCTTCATACAGTCCCGTTTGTTTCTCCAATTACTTGCTTAGCGTACAGACTGAATAACTATGGTGGAAGTATGGTGAAACAGTCTCATTGCTCCTTCTAAATCATTATATTCAAGTTCTTCATTATTTTGGTTGCTTTTTGGAAGTTGATCCGTTTTTCAACACTCTTCTCAGAGTGGGAAGCCTTAACTACAGCACTAAAAATTCTTGACATTTACAGTACTTTCCACATCACACTACGTAGTCTTTAGTGTTGAAAAAAAAAAAAAAAGTCCTCCCTTTTACAGCTTTAAATATCCTATTAAACTAAAGCCATAAAGAGCTGGGAAAGCTGAGAGTCTGTTTGATGTTTGTTTCCTTTCAGCTAAAACCCACACCATGCCCAGACAACGGAATGAGGACATGAGTGTACCGTCACTGAGTACACCGTCAGCCGTGGGGCACACCCTTCCCCACGCTAGCCCTCAGGCACTCAGCTCCCCACAGGGCTCACATATTTGGATGCCAGTGGGCAGTGGTTAAGTGCTCAGCTGCTAGCCAGAAGGTCGGCAGTTTGAACCCACCAGCCTTGCCACAAGAAAGAGATATGGCAGTGTGCTTCCATAAAGGTCAGAGCTTTGGAAATCCTAAGGGGCAGAATTGACTGAATGCCAACCTCTGGTTCTTTGAGGCTTGGAGAGTGAGATTTTCCTGGAGAGCAATTCTACACTAAGCCCCGTCACTATTTATGCGGGTTCCTCCACCTGGAACCCCACCCCTTCTACCATATCTGCACTTAAAGAGTTCCAATAGGGTAAGGAGTACTGGTACACCAACTCTGCTGCTTACGGGCTGAGTTAACCCAGGTAACTTGCTTCCCTTTTGTGTGTTTTGACTTCCTCATCTGTCTAAAGCTTATAGATTATGGAAGGATTAAATAAATCATTAAGTATAAAGTACACAATGACCTCTTGAAAAGTGTCAAGTATCACCCTGCAGTTGCCACGGACTTCGCAAAGCATTTCCTGTTACCTGCATCATTTCCTAGAATGATGCCCTGTCCTAACCTCCCACCTCATTTTATCTATCTTTACACCTGCTAAGGCCTTCAATGGCTGCAGTCTTACACTGTTACTGGTATCTATATATACTGGTGGGGTACTGTAGGATAAGTACTGGACTGCTAACCACAAGGTCAGTGGTTCAAACCCACCAGCCGCTCCTTGGAAACCCTATACAGAGTCACTATGAGTTGGAACTGACTCAATCCCATTTAACAACAATGACAACTAGACTTTGTGCTTTTGGAGGACTGAGCCCCTATCTGGAAATGTGTCCTCCCCACCCCCTATCACAACCCCTGCTGACAGCAGCAGCGGATAAGCATCTGTTGAGTGAATGAGTGACAGAACCAACACATACAAGGTCTTCCCTACTCCTGATCCTTGCTGGAGCTGGCTCATTTTCATCTTTCTCTCCAATTCACTCCTTTCCTCCTCCCAAAGGGTGCGTTAGTGGTCAGCTTGAATCCATGAATGGAAGGTTTCATCACAAAAGCTAATTTCACCATTTCAAGAATGGGATGGTTTTCACTGAGGCAGCAGGAGCCATGTGAGGGAGGATCAAGGACTTGCAGGGCTCTTGCTGCAGCGGCTGTACCAGCACTGGGACACAGCGATGCAGGGTCACCTCAGAAGTGCTGGACTTCCACTGTGTCATCCTGGACCTCCCACTTCCAGAGATAGAAATCAGTTACAGTGCTCTGCATATGACTGAACACATTACTCCATGGCTTGGAAGGCATGGAGGGCAGAAATAAGGGCCTGACAACTGGCTAAACCTCAGAAAAGTCTCAAGAAAGGGAAGTCCCTGCCCTGGAGCACCGGTTACTCTGAGGCTGACTTTGTTAGGGCATTTCGGAGAAGGCCCGCCCATTTTTTCAGGGTTGCAGGTGCTTGAGTAACACCTTCGTGTAGCTTACAACAGGTGCGCAAAAGTACCTGAAGAGAAATGCTGGGAGGATGGCAAATAGAAATAAATGTCAGAATCAGGAGTGGTTTTACGAAATATTGCCCTGGGTCTGAAAACATGCAACAGAGGGTTTTCATGGCAATTACTGGAAAGATTTCAGAAGTTAGGCGAGAAATTCATTACACCCCTAACATCAGCAGTTAGGTACCAAGACAACAGAGTCCCACATATGTGACCCATTAAGCATGATTCTTAATGATAAAACTGCTCTGGGCCCCTAGATGTACGACTCAGTCTCAGCAGTCACATCATGCTTAATGTGTCAGAGGTCAGTTTTGCTCAAGGGGACAGGGAGGGACCTTGCCCGTTCTCTTCACCAGTGTAGAGTTGGAGGGTGGTTGTCTCTTTGCTAGCCTGAAAGAAGTTAGAAAGTTTATCTGAGAAACTCCATGAAAAGAAAATCTTCTAAGAAAAGCTTCCTACAAGTCCAAGTCCCCTTAGTGCCACAAACCTTAAAACCATTGACTACAGCTGACAACTTTGACAATTTTATGAGTTAGGGAAAGTTCCCCTGGGCACATCTCTGGCAACCTGCCTATCTGAAGCCCAGGCAAAGCACAAGGTGTGAATGACCCACCCACCTACTCCATCACCCCTCTCCCTGAGAGTGTTGGTTAAGGCTCAGTGCACAGTGTTGACAAGGAATCTGTGCACGGTTGAGTGTGTATGTTCCTGCATGCGCTCGTGCACTTGCTCATCTCCATGAATCAGGCTGGGCCACCTCACCTACGTGAACTTCATGATCCTACCTTGCGGCCTCACTACCCTGGGTCTCTCTGGCTCCTTCTTTCTGAACTGAAAAGGAAGCCAATGGTACCTTTCGTGCCCATTTCAGTGTTGTTTGAAAACTGATTGCCTGGGAAGGCACTCTGTACAATACGAAACACAAATGAAGCTCGAGCCTGGTGTATGTACAATATAAGGTCTACTTCTGGATGTCCTTGCTAGGTGGCGTCCAGTCAACGCCGACTCACGGTGACCGCCCTCACAAATCCTTGCACTGCTTGAGTCCACTGTTTCCGCTCCTGTGTTGATCCACCTTCTTTATTGAAAACTGGCCACACCTCCTTGCAGCTCTTCACATCAACAGGTAGCGCTTGTCCTCCATTCTTGAATCTGGGCTGGCCCTGTGACTTGCTTTGACCAACAGAACACAGCAGAGCTGATCTTATGTGATCCCGAGTCTGAGACTCAAAGATTCTGTTTGCTTCTGCTCTTGCTCAGGAACCCTACAGCTATGGTACGGACAAGCCTCAGCTAACCACTAGACGATGAGAAGCACATACGCCCATCATCCCAGCCCAAAAGCCAGAGACATGGGTGAGGCCATGCTAGACATCTTGTCACCTGCTGACAGCAGGCACAAGAGGGAGTCTCACCAAGATGAGCTGAGCTTGGCCTAGATCAGCAGAGCCACCCAGCTAAGCTCAAGGACTCAGGAGCAATAATCAGTGGCTTTGTTTTAAGCTGCTGAGTTAGCATGGTATGTTATACACAAAAGCTGACTGTGCACATGGGTCAGAAAAGGACAGGCAGAGTTTACCTTCCTACCAAGAATTGAGGCATTCGTTTTCTCCATGAAATGGTTCTAACAAAGCCCAATCCCCCTAGTTTTACCATTAGCACAAGGCTAACTGCAGTGTCCCAAGGGTGCATCACATTCAGAGTTCCAGAGTGGATGTTGCTGTTGTTGAGTGCCATCGAGACGGTTCCTCCTCCTAACAACCCTGTGTAGGGTTTCTGAGGAGCAAGTGGTGAGTGCTTATCCTTGCAGTGCTTAACCTACCATGCCACACCAGGACTCCAAATGGAGGCAGGGCCAAGCCTTCAGAACTCTGGGTTCTTTTTAGCTTCTTTGAAAGTTTTGGAACCTGCCTGGAGTCACAGGTCTATAGCCAACTTGATTCTGAGTATGTGCCTTGAGCCAGACAGAAAGCTCCAGCTTATAACTCAGCTGCTGAGCGATGCCTCACTTGTGTGTGGGGATCATTAAGAGCCAGAACAATATGGGACATTCTGTCATTTGTTTTCACCAAGGCCTAAGTCACAGCTCAGAAGACAACTGGTTAGTCATAAAATCCATTCGACCTGAGCTTTACTGAGGCAGAACCACTGGCCCCCTGAACTCTACCTCAGCACAACCCCACCCTCCCACCTGCTGTGTCAGAGCCCCATCTCACCACCCCTCACTCTCAGGGACTTCAGGCTGATTCACTTCACTTCCTCCAGTCCAACCAAGAAAGTTTTTACCTCCTAGAGCCAAAAAGTGCATTTAGTTTGGGCCCAAAAAACTAATAAAGAGAACGGATGTCCTCCTCAGGGTCAGACTGGCCAGGAGATGGCTTGAGTGTACACATAATGCTGCTTTCTATCTGAGTTATTTACTGCTAGCCTGATAATAACCCACACATCAGTCCCTTCCTTGAGCCATTCTAAGAAAAATAAATGCCTTCTACATCCTTCAGCAATGGGAACAAACATATCAGGTGTGGGCAGATTCTCCAAAGCTTTCCTTAGATTTAAGAACATTAATAATAGGCCCCATCCTATTGGGCCTACGAGCATAACAATATCTTTAAATGCTTCCAGAGCCCATGAACCAAACTAGGAGGCTAGGGCAATAGAGGAGGGCTGTTTCAGGAGAGATGTGAAGGAAGACTTAGGTATACCTTTGGTTAGTGACTCAGGGGCCGGATCGCACATGTCCACTCGGAAGAGCAGGTACTGCTGGGCCTGCATGAGGAGCCCTGGGAAATCTCTCTCCACAGAAGCAAACTGTTCGATTTTGTTTTTCACAGATGCAAGGACCTGTCAAAAGCAACATTAATGACGATAATGCTTCACAGCAACAATCCCATCCCCAGTTATCAATAAATCTTTCAGGTGTGCTCCTCATGAATCAGGGGTTGGGGGCGGGGACTGTTAGTTACCATATTAGGCATTTGCTCATTTTTAACTGCCTAGGTGGTGTTCCTGGTAGGGCACCCTCGAAACATCAAACTAAATTAAGCTTTGCAGTTTGTTGAGAAGAAGCTACACAACCAGCTTCATAGGACAGGGAAGAAAAGGAAATCATCACAATGGTGGCTGTGTGCCGTGGAGTCGGTTCCGACTCATAGTGACCCTGTACAGGGTTTCTGAGGCTGTAAATCTTTATGGGATCAGAACGCCTCATCTTTCTCCCGTGGAACAGCTGGTAGTTTACAACTGCTGACCTTGCAGTTCACACCCAAATCGTAACCACTACGCTACCAGAGTTCCTTAATCATCACAATAGAGGGGTTTATAAAGAATAACAACAAAATACCACAGAGGAGGGAGAAAGGAGTCAGTAAACAGTCCACAGGCTGGCTGCGGACGCTGCTGGCCTACCTGATACAGAGAGCGCACACTTGGCTGGAAGACCATGTTGGTGTTGAGCAGAAAAGAACGCAGCAGCGGTTGAGGGTAGCTGGCTAGCTGAGTGATGATCCCAATAAGCAGCAAATTAACATGCAAAGAGTTCTCCAGCATGTTCTCCAGCTTTGATAGGACCACGCTGATGAAGGGGCCTGCAGAGAGATACAAGGCTTCAGGGTAGGGCACATCTTTCCTCAACAACCAAGAGCCACCGGAGCCACAGCCTCCAAACTCCTGCAGGCCTTGGCCATGAGGTACAGAACCAAGTGCTCAAATATAGTCAGGGCTCTTCCCGCTTTAAAACCCAAACCAAGACAAACCACCCCCACATAAAGAAAGCAAAAAGGCTGAATGGGGGAGCTAGTACTTTGATTCTGTGAACTGCTTTAATTCTCCGCAAATTATCAAACCTGGAAAAAAAAGCAAAATCAGACTGCAAATAATGCTTAAAAATTTAAAATAGACTTTTCCACACTGTTCCTGTTTATCTAGAAGCTCAAAAAGAGGACACGTATCATCTCCTGGTTCTGTGTGCTATAGGGCTTCCACACTGACCAACGTCCACTGCTGTTGAGTCGATTATGACTCATAGTGAACCTCTACAACAGAGTAGAACTGACCCGTAGGATTTCCAAGGCTGGAATACTTATGAAAGGCACCCTGGTGTGGTGCTATAGGATAAGCACTGGACCACCAACTCACCAGCCATTCCTCAGAAACCCTATGCAGGTGTTGCTAGGATTCAGAAGTGACTCGACAGCACTCAACAATAACAATCTTTATGGAAGCAGACTGTCATATCTTGCTCCTGTGACACAGGTGGTGGGTTTGAACTGCTAATCTTTCGGTCAGCAATTGAGTGCTTAACCACTGCACCACCAGGGAGCCTATACAAATATTGTTGTTTGTTGTTGTTAAGTGCCATCAAGTGGGTTTGGACTCATAGTGACTCTGTATACAGTTTCTAAGGAGTGGCTGGTGAGTTTGAATTGCTGAACTTGCTTAGCACTTGGTTAACAGTCCAGTGCTTATCCTACAGTGACACACCAGGACTCCCTGACTCAGGGTTGTTGTTGTTAAGTGGTTCCAACTCACTGTGACCCTCTCTGGGGGTTCTGAGGAGTGGCTGGTGGGTTTGAACTGCCAACCTTGTGGTTAGAAGTTCAGTGCTTATTCTACAGTGCTACACCAGGACTCCATACAAACATTGTTGTTGTTAAGTGCTGTCAAGTCAGTTCTGACTCATAGAGACCCTGTATAGGGTTTTCTGATAAGCGACTGCTGAGCTTGAACTGCCGACGCTACGATTCAAACTGACTTTGTAGTCCAGCACATTAATACATTAGAGGCTGTCAAAACATTTTTAGTAATAAAAACATCTTTGTGTTGTAAGAATCACCAAACATATACACACTAAATTTACCAGTCAGCAACACTGTGAACAGAAATAGTCCCAAGCAAGCTCTCTGAAAAACATTCTGCTTTGTCAAGTATCGCAGTGTGAAAGAATGGAGAAAGGTAAGCAGCCCCGGATAACTCAGTAACCCAACTCTAAGATTTGTTGTTGAGTGCCAACGAGTCGGTTCCAACCCATAGCAACCCTACATAGGGTTTCTGAGGAACAGCTGGTGAGCTTGAACTGCCAACCTTGCTGTTAAAACCAACTTTGCAGTCCAGAGCATTAACCCACAGCACTGCACCAGGACTCCATGCTTTAAGATTAGAATGAAAGAACTCAATTTTGGGAATTCTAAGTTCCATAAAAAAGGCAAAATCTACATGGCTACAAATGAAGTTCATTAAAATTTTTTTTTTTAAGAAAGGCAAAAAGTACACCTATGGAAGCAGTAGCTCAAATGAGGGAACAAATTCTTACAACAAGAATCATTCCCACCCCCTCCACACACAGAGTAGACAGGGATGGGCAACTTGGACATTGGCTACCCAAAATGGGGAGGGGAGGGGCTACAAAGGCAAGAAGTGACTGGCTTACAATCTTTCAAGAGGGAACCTAGAGCCAGGGGGCCTCAAGGAAGGCAGAATCTCCAGTGAGTACTATCCAATCTGCCTAGGCGGGTCTCTGTGATACAATAGTGAATAATTGTTATCAGGACTGATTGTGAAGATTGGAAATGTAAAGGTAGACGTTTTATAGCAAGCAAGGGAGGGAATAACTTTCCAGTCTAGGAGCAGAGGTCCCTAGGACCATCAACAGAGAAGAGCTGAGAGCAGGAACCTACCCAGAGAAGCAGTGATGCCTGAGATGGAGGCAGAGACAATGACGTGGAGCGATGGAGCAGCTGGGGACTTTAGATCCAGAGAGGGAGAGTGACTGTGTGCTGAAGACTGGAGGGCGGGGATAGTGTAGGGGGCAGGCTTGCAGGGTATACCCTTTGGTTGGTTGATGATGCATGGGAAGAGATTGTAACCATGGCAATGATACAATGTACGACAGAATGAAAGTAAAACTAATGTTCTCCCATGTAAACTATCATATAATTCACAATAAAACACTTTAAAAAAAAGGCAAAAAGTTTCTACTGTGGGTTGATAGGAAATTAGGATGCTTATGATTGAGTTCACTGAAGGCAGGGAAAATCAAGAAACCAATCTAGTGTTAAAAACATTACATATAGATGTTTTAGATTTTCACCATGAAAGTGCTCTTCCCATTAAAGCAAAATCAATGAGAATTTTGTATTTCACCCAGCGGAGCTATTGATGATGCCACTAAACCATGAGCTCACAACCCTTGATGAATAAATGTGCTTTATAAAGACCCCACATCAACATTAATTTGAATTTAACAAAAGCGCACTTCATTACAAGAAGCTTTTCCCAGAAGTCTGGTAAGTATAAGAAAATAAAACCTTTGTCAAGAAAACAGAAGCTATTTGTAAGAAATGTAAACATCAAACCTAGACCTTTTCTTTACTAACATAGGCAAGTAACACAGTATTGGCAAAATGTTTCCATCTCTAGGAGAAATACAGGCTGTATCTTGCTGTTGTTGGTAAGTGCCATCAAGTAAGTTCTGACCCATAATGACCCTGTATATAGGGTTTCCAAGGAGCTGCTGGTGGACCGACCTTGCAGTCCAGTGTATTATCCTAGAGCACCACATTCAAAACACAGGAAAGACAGCATCCCCTCCTTGTAGAGTCTTCACTGGTTTAGCCCAACTTCCCCAGTCTTGGGTTGGTGGCAGAGCTCTTCCTTCACTCTCCGGGACACAGGAGGTCAATAAATTCTTCAACTAGAGAGCCCTTGGAAAACTACAAAACTGGGAGAGTTGGCCAAGCACACTCACAAATTCCAGACTACAAGCCTGGTTTGAAAGCAACTCACGATTTTGCCATCAAGCACTGCAGATACACCACTGGGAACTCTTCTAGAGACATCACAACACAATCTAGCCTTCCAGGTAGATCTATAGCAGGGGTGGGGAGCCTTTGTTCTGTTGAAATTTATAACATCATTCACAGGCCACCCAATAGTATCAAACTTAAAAATTAGCCTGCTATATTTGGCCACTTAATTAACTTACCTCACATGATGGCAACAGGTTGCCTTGGCAGGATCAGAACAAATGATTACTTGGGCCTTACACTGCCCTCGGGACTGATGTTTCCCACCCCTGATCTATAGGGAGATCCTCCTCATCCTCAATCCTGGACTCAAGCTTCTCCCACCCTACTCTACCCATCTCATTTCACCCAAAGCAATCCCTAGTTCTGCATCTATTTCTCTCAGAAGGAGCAAGGTCCTTGAATTAAGACATATTTAGGCAGGTTACTTGTTGTTGTTACGTGCCATCAAGTCGGTTCTGACCCATAGTGACCTTGTATAGGGTTTCCGAGGAGCAGCTGGTGAGCTTGAACTGCCGACCTTGCAGTTCAAATCAGCTTTTCAGTCCAGCGCACTAACCCATAGTGCCACACCAGGACTCTTTAAAAGGTATGTTCCAAATGTGATCCCTCAACTGTCCTTCCACAGTTCTAGACTGTAAGTGACCGCACCCACATACCAAGTCACCATTTACAGTCCATCACCTCTACAAAGAAGGAAAAAGGCCCAAAGCCTGTGCCCTGTGGCAAGTAGGATTGTTATCACATTTTCTCACCAGAATGACAATAATAGGTAGAGGTCTGCTGACTATCATTATAAAACCATTAATGACTTTAATTACAACTTCCTAGGCATATGTAATAAAAGCACATATGTGTAATAGAAACCCTTTCAAATTCCTCTCTTATTCTAGCACTTATAAAAAACAGAAAACAAAAAAACCTGTTTAGCATAAAGCAATTGCTAGGGGAAACTGGCAAGCTGCTGAAAGTAAGAAACCTCAGTTACAATTTGGAATGCCACAGGTACGAATGGGAGGGGTGTCTTTTCCTCTTTTCTAAGATAAACTCTCCTTTCAGAATATATTGAAATTTTCACAATGCCTGTGATTATCTCTACCACCCCCTCTTGACATTCGCATCTCTCCCCTGATGTACCCCACCTCTGCCTCAGCCAACCTGCCTCCTTCTCCTAGTTCCAGATGGAACCTCTATCTATTTGGGGCCTCAGGTCTACCTTGGAAACACCTCTGAATGTGGACCTTCGTGTCCCCTTCTCCTGCCTTGGGCCAGAGTCTCATCATTTCTTGTCTGGAGTCTGTATTTTAACTGAGATTAAAAAATCTTTTTTTTCCACACATTAAAAAGATTAAAACACAAACTTCCTCCCTGGAGGCAACAGATTCTTTCGGAAATATTGAGTACTTAGTATGTGAAAAACAGTAATCTTTTTATAAATCAACTTACTAACAAGAAATGTTTATTATTTATCCCCATTTAAGGATAAGGTAGAATGCTAAGTGAATACAGCAGTAAATGAGGGAGTCAGGATTTTAATCCAAACACTTAATCTCCAGGGCACAGACACCAAAGCAGCACATTCTCTGCCTCTCAAAGAATGTGTGTGTGTGTGTGTTTTTTAAAATACATGAAAAATTTCTTGACACACTGATCTACACCTTGCACACTTTACAATTTATACTGGCAGCTGCCCCATATCAGTACATACACAGCTGCCTCATTCTTCTCAGATCCACAAGATAGTCAATTGCTGTGGGTATTGCTAAAGTAAACTAGCCTACCAT